AAAAGAGGGGAGATAAACACGATAGATGTTTGATAGGAAAGAAGGAGCAAACCACACCAGAGCACCCGCCAACCACCCACGCGACAGTCAGAATGGGGGAGCCGTCAGTTCAACTTGACAGCAGTTTCCATGACGCTCACAGACTGCATAAATATGGCCCTGTCATTATCTCTCTTCCCCCACCGGTCTCATGGGGCCCTGTGCACTGGCCTAGGGTATAATGATTATCCATAACAACTGCTTCAATAATAATAATACATTGCTTGCTAGATGATGAGTGCTTTCTCCCAAATCTCTTCCTCCCCTCTCGCAGATTATTTAAAAAAAAAAAAAAAGAGTGAAATACATAAGTAGCAACCATAGACAGACAAACAACAAAAATAAACAACAACCCCCAACCCCACAAGAAAAAGGGATGAAGACACACACAGACAACTGGGCGCAGACCAATATGGGCACCCCCGCCCCCCCCCCCTCTCCTGCTGACAGCATCCAAAAAAGGATCACAGGATCTCAACACTTTTGATTTCGCACTGCAATGAAACATTCATCCCTTTTTCCCGGACATCCTGGCTCCCTGCCAATTTGGCTCAACCCCAGGATATCAGGCGGGGGGCGCAGGGGGGGAATTTGTCACACATCATCAGACAATGACGCATTCAAATCTACAGTACAAAACGAGACGCATTACAATTTGAACAAAAAAATCCCCCCACAAAACAAACAAAAAACCAAAAAGAAAAATCTTGTATTGACAGCCACTCATGTACACAAGTCACACTCTCCACCCTACAAAGCTGTGATTTTTCACAATTCTCTCCAACATAAATGTCAAACGTGTGCGGGACCTACATGACTACTCCAGACATTTACCACCTTCCCACAAAACAAGGAAAGTGGGCAGGAGAAGGGGGGAAAAATGAAGATGGAACAACCCCCCCCTAAAAAAACCCCCACAAAAAACAAAGAGACCCACAGGCGGGCAGTAAAAACTTTCACTTTTTAATTTTATTTTTAAAAAATCAGATGACAATCATGCTCTAATAAGACTCGAGGCTTGAGTGATGTGGGGGGGAAAATGATTCCATATCCCCATCCCCTCCCTCCTCCCCCCCCAAAAAAGAGAAAAAAACAAAAAACACCTCGAGTAAACAATTCAAAATTTGCTGATGGGCGTAATCGACTGCTCGGGGAAAAAATCCTCACAATTGTGGAGAGCTGCTGAGAGGGCAGGGCACGTGGACAGCTCAGTCTTCCTCGCCTTCTTCTTCCTCCGACTCTGAAAGAAAATGCCAAAAAATTAAACCAATTAACTATCATTATATAAATTCAAAACCTGACAAACCTAGGCCAGCGCTCTGCCAAAATTCTGTTTTTATCCCAGACAAGCTCTTAACAATTTCCTCACAGCATACCCCATGGCTCTTAATTTTGGTAAGAGTTTTATTGTTTTAGTAGAGGTTTTACGGCGCTCGCAACTGCATAAGGTTATATGAGCGCCAGACGATTAGAGGTGCTACAAGAGAGTAACAAACATAAAAAAAGGAGGGGAGTTAAGGACGATAGATTTTTCTTATAGGAAAGAAGAAGCAAACCACACCAGAGCACCCGCCAACCGCCCACTAAGAGTTTGTTTATCACCAAAAGCTTTCAAATTCTCTAAACCCCCCCCCCCCCTTCTAGATAGATAGATAGAGAGAGAGAGAGAGAGAGAGAGAGAGAGAGAGAGAGAGAGAGAGAGAGAGAGAGAGAGAGAGAGAGAGAGAGAAAGAGCGCGTGCACCAGAAACTAAATTTTCAAAGCAGCTGCAGACAGACAAACAGCCGTCTCTCACCCTCCTCAGCACTCTGCAGCCATTCCACAAACTTCTTCATCTGCTCCAGGAAGACGCTCTTCCCCTTGGCGCTGTGGCTGTCCTTGTACCACTTCAGGATCACGTCCTCGCTCACCACCTCCGCTGTAAGGGGCACACACAAACACAAACAATATTATCATATAACTTCTCACACAAACACAAACATCATATTATAATATGTCGCATACAAACACAGACATCATATATGTCGCATACAAACACAAACAATTAACAATACTAGCATGTAATGTGTCACACAAATACGAACAATATTTCAGTTTACGGCACTTGCATTACTATAGCATATATTCACGCTGACCATAGCATGCCCTACAACTATTAATAACAATAATTGCATTTATATAGCGCATGTCTGGGAGGCAAACCATCAGGCCACCGCTGCCACAATCTCAACGAGCACACAGGGTGTGTGTGTGGCGTCGGTAGCCTAGTGGTTAGGCTCTCGGACTCGCAACCGTAAGGTCGTGGGTTCGAATCCCGTCAAGGGCCCGACGTTGTGTCCTTGGGAAAGGCACTTTACACGAATTTTCCTCACTTCACCCAGGTGGGAATGGGTACCCGGCTATAGACAGCGAAGGATCTTGTCAGTTTGTTAGTGTTTGAGCACTTACTCGGCTGCTTGCACTGTATGCTTCCCGGGAAGCTGAGAATGTTTCAGAGTGTTCTATGGTCTGCTGGGGTAATAATATAGTGTAAAGCGCATAGAGCCTGCTGTTGAGCGGGGATATGCGCTATACAAATGTTATCTATTATTATTATTTTTTTTTTTTAAATTACAGTAGAGGGTTTTACGGCGCTCGCAACTGCATAAGGTCATATGAGCGCCAAGGGGTGGGTGTCAACAGAGAAGTCTTTACAGGGAATCTCTGCTCACCTCTCTAGCTTCAACAGCACAAAGTCTGCCTCTACTACAGTGGAACTCGGATTCAATGAGATGAGACAGATTCCTCGTTTCTTTTTCTTCTTTAAAATCAATAAAAGTAACATGGATTCAACGAGCACTTAAATCAGCGAGCTCGGATTCAATGAGGTCGCTTCCAGGGGGAACAAACCCCGCAGACATGGCTTCGCTAATTTTCCTCCCAGAACGAACTTTATCTATTCCCGGAAACCATCCATTGCACCTGCATCGTGAACCATTATTCACTTAGCCGATTGCATGCGACCAATCAGCGGCCTTTTAGAATACCAACACATGCGTTGTTGACACGAGCATGTGTCTACTCTGGCGTGTGTCGGGGTCAGGTGGGCGGCCTGCACATGGGTGACTGTGTTTTTTGTGTCAGGCGGGGGGGGGGGGGAAACCAGTGCTCCGGGCGTTGAACATCGCAGATACAAAAGTGTCACTGTCTTTTTTTCCCCCTTGGCAACTGATCATTATTACAATAATAAGCTATAGTCTTGACGTAGATCTACAAAATGAATTGTGCACTGGTCTATGGAATCAAAAGTTGGCGTCTGCTAGGCTCTACAGAGCAACACAACTTTGTGGTAAACAATCGAGAAGACACAGGCGTGTGTATTTGAACGAATCGGTCTTTTTTTACACAGCTCAAAAATGCGCAGGCCTTTCAGGCACTACGTGTGACTTCTCTTGTACACTGCTTGCTCAGTGCCTGTAATTATCTACACAAAACCTCGTTTTTGCTATAACGAACACTCGGATTTAACGAGATTTTAGGTCAGGCCCGACAACCTCGTTGAATCCGAGTTCCACTGTACCAAGGCACCTCGGAAATAGTAGGTCACAAGAGAATGACAAACATAGAAAAGAAGTAGAGAAAAAATGACAATAGTAAGGATTAGGAAAGAAAACGCAGCAGTTCCATGTTGTAGATCAGGCACGGTTATGAGCGTGACATGAGTCAGCCCATTTACAATTCTACTATGCTTGAACGGGAAATGTCCCCCCTTTGGGAAAGGCCTAAAGACACTGCAGTCAGTGACACTGCCCCGGGGGCTGCGTGTGTGTGTGGTATACTCACTCTTGTAGAGCAGCATGATGATCTTCTGGAAGGACTTGAGGAAGTTCATATTCTCGTAACAAAACTCTTGCACCTTGAGCATCAGGGACAGTTCCGAGCGGCCGCTCTTGGCCGTCTCCTGGGGAGCCACACAAACAGACGTACATCAAATCACATACCAAGATTAGGAGTTTTAGTTTAGTTTAGTAACGAGTTTTACGGCACTTGCAACACAATAAGGTCATATAAGTGCCGAAGATTAGAGGTGTCACAAGAGAGTAACAACAAACGTAAAAAAGAAAGAGGAGAGATAAGGACGATAGATGTTTAAGAGGAAAGAAAGAGCAAACCACACCAGAGCACCCGCCAACCACCCATGAAGATTAGGTGTTACAAGAGAGGAACACGCACAAACAAAATGGAGGGGAGATGAGGATAAAAGATTCTTGATAGGTAAGAAGAACAGAGGTGTGACAAGAGAGTAACATACACACACACACACACACAAAAAAAAAAGGGGGGGGGGGGGAAGAGGAGATAAGTACAAAAGATGTTTGACAGGTGGAAAGAAGAAGCAGGCCACACCACAGCAGCAGCTAAACCATAAACCACCCACTAATAACTCACTGTTCCTCCAGAGTAAATAATGACAATAACCAGGGGAAAAAAAACCAACACCAAAAAACAGGCACCTTCCGAATTCCCCCCACCCACCCCCGGACCCCCCCCCCCCCCCCCCCCCCCCAACCAAAAACAATAACAGGCACCCCCCCCAACCGTGCATAGTGCATGCGTAGGTACCTTGAGCAGAGGACAGTACTGTCTCAAGTGCTTCAGAGCCTGCTCAGCCACCAGGTCCTCCTTCTTGTTCCACTCCACAGCTGCCATGACCGAGTTCCAGATCTGCTCAGGGGGGGAAAACAATTTTAGTTTTAGTATTAGTAAGAATTTTACTTAGTAGAGGTTCAACGGTGCTCGCAACTGCATAAGGTCATATGAGCACCAAGGGGTGGATGTCAACAGAGAAGTCTTTACAGGGAATCAGACTTACTCTGCTCACCTCTCTAGCTTCAACAGCACAAGGTCTGTTTCGACTTTCAAGGCACCCCAAAAACAGCGGGTCACAAGAGTAGATCAGGCAGTTATGAGCGTGATATTAATGAATCAGCCCATTTACAATTTTACTGTGCATGAACGAGAAATATCCCCACTTTGGTAGTAAATGTTTTACGGCACTTGCAACACAAGGTCATATGAGCGCCAGAAGATTAGAGGTGTTACAAGAGAGTAACAAACACAAAAAAGGAGGAGGGGAAGAGAAGGACGATAGTTTTTTTATTGGTAAGAGGGAGCAAACAGCATCAGAGCACCCGCCACCCACCCACTAGTAAGCATTTTACGCTAGTACTTGCAGCACAGTTAGGTAACGTAACACAAGTGCCGAAGATTAGTTTAGGCTCAGTAAGGTTTTATGGCGCTTGCAACTGCATAAGAGAGCCGAAGATTAAAGAAGTGTTCCATCCACGAAAAAAACCTCCAAGACCTATCAAGGAGGAGTACAGAAAACTGACAGTATTCAGGTACAAGACTGTAAGACACTAGTATTATACTAAATAGATATAGTTGAGACTGCAATTTTGTAAAATAATAAATAACTACAGTAACAACTGCTCTAACGGCCACCTGACCAGATGACCACCCCGCCACCCCCCCTTCCTCCCACTCTCTGCATGTTTTAACCCTATCCGTACGTCGTGTTTTATCATCGTATCCATACAACGTGGAAAACTCTGGGCCACCACTTTCCAAAGAGGAATTTTACTCGTTAATCCCATCCACATGCTTTGCATGGCAGTCTATCAAAATGATTTTTCGAGAAATACTGAAAGTTTCAAAGAGATCTTAGCTCTTGAAGTATTCTAAAATGTGAAGAATACAACCCCTGGGGTACAAAATGACCCCAGGCGTACGGATAGGGTTAAACAAATATAACAACACTGTCCGAGACGTTCCCCCGATTTAAGCCACCCACTTTTCTCCTTGACAATGGGCGGCCGTCTTGGGACAATTTATTTCAACTGTATATCACATATATATATAAAACAAGCAGAAAATAGACGTCAATGTTAGTGGAATCACGAGGCATTTTTTTAAGTAGAGGGTTTTACGGCGCTCGCAACTGCATAAGGTCATATGAGCGCCAGAAGATTAGAGGTGTTACAAGAGCGCAACAAACATAAAAAAGAAGAAAGGGGAGAAAAGGACGATAGATGTTTGATAGGAAAAAAGAAGCAAACCACACCAGAGCACCCGCCAACCATCCACTGTCACGAGGCATTGAACCAACAAAAGTTGGAATGACAACGAGGAAGAAAAAACCAACCACTTACAGATATGGTCACTTCAGTTTCTGACATGCCCTGTTTCTCCAGAAGCTCAGTCACGTATTCTGTCATCTGGGGGAAAGAAGCGGGAACAGAAAATTAAGTTTGGGGTTGGGTTTATTTTTTTTCCCTTCAAGTTTACAGCCCTTGCAACACAATTAGGTTATAATAGTGCTGACGAACAGGGATGTTACTAGATAGTCACATACAAACAAGAAGATGAAAAGAGATGAGGATGATAAGAGGTTTGACAGGGAAGAAGGAGCATACCACACCAGAACATCCGCCAGACACCCTCACCAAATGAAAAAAGACAATCTATAACACATGAAATCATGTTTTAGTAGAGGTTTTTACGGCGCTCGCAACTGCATAAGGTCATATGAGCGCCAGAAGATTAGAAGTGTTACAATAGAGTAAAAAACATAAAAAAGGAGGGGCGATAAGGAAGATAGATGTTTGATAGGAAAGAAGAAGCAAACCACACCAGAGCACCCGCCAATCACACACACACATGAAATCAGGTTTGTACAAACAATCAAAAAGACGTGAAATGAATCCCAATAAATACTGGATGTGGCGCGTTTTTTTTTGTTTGTTTGAGTTGACCCAACCAATCAATGTTAAATAGCATCAATTGCAACAATTTCAATCAAATAGCAAACTCAGCTGAAAAAAGGACAGGAGAACACAGATCAAATATATATGCAAGTATAACATTGCTACTCTCGTGGTATGACCAGCGTTTAGTTTTAGTAGGAGACATATGGCACTTGCAACACAATAAGGTCATATAAGTGCCAAAGATTAGAGGTGCTACAAGAGAGCAACAAACACAAAAAGAAGGACGGGAGATAAAGACGATAGGTGATCTTGGTAATTCGCGTGGGTTAGCAAGTCTATCAAACCCACAAGAATGTGTAGTGAGAGGCCTGCTCATCACGATGTGACGGGACACAACGCGACACGGCATGGCCGGACCTTACCTCAGGCACTGGGACTTCATCCTTGATCATTTCGGCGAGAGCTTTCTGGGCCTCTTTCTTGGCCTTGGAGGCCAGCTGGGCCGTCTGCATGTCAGCGACTGGCCCCAGGCCACGTTCCCTGAAGAAGGTGTTGAAAGTCTCCGGGTTGCGTTTGTTTTGAGGAAAGATTTCCTGTAACACAAGAGACAGCTTTTTAAAGTAAGGTTTTACTATTATTTTTTTAAAATATTATAGTAGAGGGTTTTACGGTGCTCGCAACAGCATAAAGTCATTTGAGCGCCAAGGGGTGGGTGTCAACAGAGGAGTCTTTACAGGGAATCAGACTTACTTTGCTCACCTCTCTAGCTTTAACAGCACATGGTTTGCTTCGACTATCAAAGCACCCCAGAAATAGCAGGTCACAAGAGTGTGACAAACATACAAAAGAAGTAGAAGAAAATGACAAATAGTAAGGATTAGGAAAGAAAAAGAGCAGCAGTTCCCCGTTGCAGATCAGGCACAGTTATGAGCATGACATAGATGAATCAGCCCATCTACAATTACAATTCTACTGTGGATAAGAACATGGTTAATATTCCCCCCCGCACCGCGCCCAGAGGGGGGGGAGATTACCAAGACCATGAGATCAGAAATCAGAAATCAAATGATGTATCTGCTATATCAAAACTGTAAGATTATTCTTGAGTTACCATCACGATATCCAAAGAACTGCATTCGAAAAAGCTCGACACGTGAAACCCAAACATTTTCTACATCAAATTTCTCCCAACTGGACACGAAGCAGATAGAACTTTGATATATTCTAGGGTAGTAGCGGCTACTCACCATGAGGCGCGTGTCAATCTGCTGCTTTTTCAGAGCCGTGCAAATGGAGTTGATGTCCTTCTCCTTGAGCCAGGTAGAAAACAATCTAGCCGTGAACTCCACCGAGATCCCTGTCGGGTAGAATGTTATTGTTTTAGTAAGCGTTTAGTTTTTAAAAAAGTTTTAGTAGGAGTTTCACCGCACTTGCAACACAATAAGGTCATATAATTGCAGAAGATTACAAGAGAGTAACAAACATAAAGAAGAAAAAGGAAAGATTAGAACAATGGTTCTTGGACAGGAAAGAAGGAGCAAACCACAACAGAGCACCTGCTACCTACTCACTACCAGGTAAACACAGCATTCACAGCACAAGTTTTAGTAGAGGTTTTACGGCGCTCGCAACCGCATAAGGTCATATGAGCGCCAGAAGATTAGAGGTGTTACGAAAAAGTAACAAACATAAAAAAGAAGAAGGGGAGATAAGGACGATAGATGTTCGATAGGAAAGAAGAGGCACACCACATCAGAGCACCCGCCAACCACCCATGTAAGAGTTTTACGGCACTTGCAACAGAATAAGGTCATATAAGTGCCGAAGAATAGACGTTACAAGAGAGTGACGTACACAAAAAAGGAGGAGCGATAAAGAAGATAGGTGTTTCATAGGAAAGAATAAAGAAGGAGCATATCACACCAGAGCACCCGCCAACCACCCACTCAGGCACTTGCCAATTATTGGGTATAGGGAGTTATTGGTATCACCTTAAAGGCTGTTCATTTGTCTTGCATTTGATGAAAAAAATATCCATTTATCTCTAATACAAGTCGAGATATTTGCGATTGAAGGAGGCGGGGTCACCTGGTTTCAGAAGTAAAATTAGAGAGAAAGTGGCCGCCAAAGTTAGGCGACATCCACAGCTCAAGAGACCCTGGAAACTGCAAATTTACATCTTTTGTACCTTTAATCAACGTTGTTCAAATAAAAATCCACACATATGAGTGCTTTTGAAAAGCATACGAGGTGTTGAGCTAAAAAAAATATTTTTTTAAATGGAAGAAAATTCCCTAACTGGCACAAAAAATGCAGAATTCTTCAATTCCATTATTTTGACAAGCGCCTGATTTCACCATGACGCCCCACAAGAGAAGTTTAGGCCGTCTATCCTAAGAATCTCCATAAAACACAGAACCTCATTCCAATTGTAAACGAACTGGTTGCCAAGAAAAGATGGCCAAAAATTCCAGCACAGACAAATGTGGCGGAACAGAAAAATAATTTACATGCCTTGATTTGCATTTATTAAAAATTTTGTCTGTTTTCCCATATATCATTTTTTTTAAAAGTTACGTTTTCTCTGCTCATAGAGTGTTGATCCAGCCTAGTCAGCAACCCAAGCCTGTCTCCTTATGCGCAACGTGACGTCTAGTCGCGAGGTATCCAAAATTTCGAGCCAAGTGCGACAAAACTGTCTTCTTGTGCAAGATGCGACGTTCAGCCGTACACGACAGGCTAAGCCCTCGAGTGACTGGCAACTCACAGAAGAGAGACAGTGGCAAGTTTCAATGTCAAGATGGACAAAAATTTCAATGTCAAGATGGACAAGGGAGTACAAAGTCCGTCAGACGGAAGTTCTACGAGCTACTGACATTTTTGACTCCGTAAACGGCCGATCCCGTTTAAGTCCTCCTCCTCCTCCTCTCCCTCTTTCTCCTCCTCCTCTCCCTCTTTCTCCTCCTCCTCTCCCTCTTTCTCCTCCTCCTCCTGTTGCTGCTGTCCGTTAAAAAAACAAACCAAAACAACAAAATTAGATTCACAAGACTTGCATTCATTGGGTCGAACTGAAGATGAACACACACACACCACACCACACCACACACGGCGCGTCGATCGGCACTCCATGGCTAGATATTTTGACCAATGGTGATTCTCTAAACCTGTGACATCCTAAGTCTGTCGCATGCGCCGAGATGTTTGTTTGCTGGCAACGGTCGTGTGCGACTAAAGAGAGTTTCTTTATATTCTTACTCGATTGATTTAATAGCAACATGGACCACACCCGACGCGACGTCGCGTAAAAGGAGACAAGCCGTGGTATATGCTGACAACCACAGTAGAAATTGTTCAATTGTATAACTTAAAATATTTTTTTTTTAAAAACAAACACACAAGTAGGGAAATAGGAAGTGTCCATTTGACATGTGATTGTCTTCTACAGGTGGCTGTTTAAAAAGATGACAAGTCCCATAGCGGTGATTGTCTTATACAGGGGATAAGTTTTATACACGGGGATGCCACTCAACTTTTTAAAAAATAGCTGAAAATCCACACGTGAAACGAAACGGATCCCAGTGGACCGGCGTGTTTTCCCGACTTGCTGAAATTAGAGCAAATCTTCAAAAGTTTTTTTCTCCCCGATATTTGAACTTATGGCGAAGTCTTCGTTTTTCCGTTATTTGAATATTTGGCGCAAGTTGTTGTGTGTGGGTGTGTTTGTGGGGTTTTCCCCAACTATAGATTCTATCTCGATCTCAACGGAATAACGGATCAGGATCAAAAGACAGGAAATATCGGGAACCCCCCTCCCCCGGAAAAGTGGCATCCCTGTATACAGGTGGTAGACGGAGCAGACCCGCCACGTACCTTCCTTCACCAAGTGGTCCTCAAACAGGCTGAGAAGAATGCGAGGGGTACAGAGGCCGTTAGCCAGGATTATGCCCGTCACCGTGGCCAGCTTCTCCCGCTCTTCAGGAGTGAAGCCCTTCTGGAACATGAGGATCTGGAACAAGGGAAACCAGCACAAGATGTTTTAGGACGTGTTTTAAAAAAAGTTTTAGCAGAGGTTTTACGGCACTCGCGACTGCATAAAAGGTCATGAGCGTCAGTTTGTTAAGTTTTAGTAGAGGTTTTACGCCACTCGCGACTGCATAAGGTCATATGAGCGTCAGAAAATTTAGGTGTTACAAAAGAGAGTAAGAAACATAAAAAAAGAAGAAGGGGAGCTAAGGACAGTAGATGTTTGATAGGAAAGAAGAAGCAAATCACACCAGAGCACCCGCCATCCACCCACTAGGACGTGTTTCAACAGCAGCTCAAGGGTGCAGGCAGTTCTTTTAAAAACAAAACATTCAAACAAACAAAAAAATAAATAAAAAGAATTTCTACTCTTCTTACAGTTTGAGTCCTCCGAACTATTTTGTCCAAAGTGTCTCTTTACTTAAGTGCACTTTGGACACAAAAAAATAGTTCTGATTTGACGAGTAATCTTTTTCAGAATACAGATTTTGTAGGATTTTGTGAAAATACCTGAAAATTTACGAAGTTGCATTTCCAAACAAAAAGACAGTTACTAGACAACTAATATAATGGGATTCAACAGAAAACGAATGCTTAGAATAATATGTATTCTTCTAGTGGTAAAAAACAAAGGAAATACTGGGAAGAGACATCTCCCCCCCCCCCGCCCCCAACGATGTGGTTGGTTGTCTATATCAAACCAACACAGCTGTTTACAGCTAAATTCAGTAAAGTCATATCTTCTAAGAAGCTGTTTTTAAAAAAAAAAAGGAAACAAAAAAAATCATATTGCACGTCAGTAGGCTGTCAAACTATGCCAGTGGCATTCAGGAAAAAAAACAAATTCATTAATTCAAGCACCAACATAAGTGCCCCCCCCCCCCCCCCCCCCCTAAAAAAAGATTAATCAATTAAAGAGAACCTTCCCACTCATAAAAACTTTCAAATCAAAATGTGTGGGCAATGTGCCAACCCACCAAACCTCTGTGCTGTGCACAGCAGCCAGAAATAAAACTACAGACCAAACAGAAAAACGTCCCCTCACCTTCTTCAGGTCATCCTCAAATGCTTTTTCCAGATACTTGTACCTTCTGATGAGCTTATAGAAAACCTGGAGTGAAGCACAAAAGCAACACAGACTGTACACTCATGATTCACATTTGTTTGATTCCAACACACAGACAAACAGATTCTGTTTGTTTCAGTCTCAATAAGTTTTACGGCACTTGCAACACATTAATCAGCAAGATCATACAAGTACCAAAGATTATAGATGTTACAGGAAAGTAACAAACACTTAGGACAAGATGGTGTGGTCAGGACGATAGATGCTTGATAGGAAGAGAAGGGAGCAAACCACACTAGCGCACCTGCAAACCACCCGCCAACCAGATTCAGTTCTAATGGACCTATACACTAAAACACAACCAGGATATGACAAATAATTGTTTGAAAACGTCAGAGCCATACATTATTTACACTCGAAATCCTCTCTTCGCGCGTGCGTGTGTGTGTGTGTGTGTGTGAAATGACCACAAGAAATGTGACCAGACACAAGTGTGGGGGCAGCCTTGCAAGTTTTCACAGACCTGGTTTGTCCAAGTATGACTCGTAAAGAGTGGCACATGGACAAAAACTAAAATTTCACACTTTACTTTACTTCATCAAAGGACTTTGCATACAAAATAGTTAAGGTAATTTTTTTTAAACATAATTTTAAAATTAGCAATTATTGTTTAACCGCTATTCCACAAAAATCAACCAAATCACAAAAAGTTTCACCATTAACAAGACCTTGTTGCAATGTTCAGATGGACAACCAAACATAAAATATAAAGCCATAAAAAAAAAAAGAGTAACACATGTTATGAGTGACAAGTACCTTGAAACACCCAACCCCCTCCTCCCACCGTGAACACTTTAAAAGGAAAAACAACAACCTCATTAATAACCCATCTTGTGAAAAACGAAGGTGCTTTTTATAAAAATCAAACATGGAATGTGCACTAAAAGCAGGAACGGGGGGGGGGGGGGGGGGGGGAAGCCACTCTCACCATCAAAATAAGTTTATACGGAGACGACACAATCAACATGACAAGCAAAACTCACTGCATAGAAGCTACGCAGCTGCTCCGTATCGCCATCCCATCTGAATACACAAATATCCGACCTGGATGGTTTGTCAGGGTCCGTGCTTTCCACTATAAAACCTCCAGGAGCTGAAAACACACGAGAAATCAAAGGAGAGTTTAGTTCCAGGTTCCAGTGAGAGTTTCACAGCACTTGCAAACACAATAAGGTCATTTTAAAAAAAATTATAGTAGAGGGTTTTACGGCGCTCACAACTGCATAAGGTCATATGAGCGCCAAGGGGTGGGTGTCAACAGAGAAGTCTTTACAGGGAATCAGACTTACTCTGCTCCCCTCTCTAGCTTCAACAGCACAAGGTCTGCTTCAACTATCAAGGCACCCCTGAAATAGAAGGTCACAAGAGAGTGACAAACATACAAAAGAAGTAGAGGAAAATGACAATAGTAAGGAATAGGAAAGAAAAAGCAGCAGTTCCCTGTTGTAGATCGGGCACAGTTATGAGTGTGACACGAATCGGCCCCAATTCTACTGCGCTTAAACGAGAAATGTCCCCCCTTTGGGAATGGCCTAAAGACACTACAGTCAGTGGCACAGCCCCGGGGGGTACAATAAGGTCAGAGAAGTGCCGAAGATCAGAGGTATTACAAGAGAGTAACAAACACACACACACAATAAAAAAGGAGGGATAAGGACAGATTAGAAATAAGGAGCAAACCACACCAGGGCGCCCGCCACAACCACCCACAAATCAAAATGAGAAATCAACAGCAAGAAAAAATACTTTAAATAAAAATAAATGCAGATGTTTGAATTCAATTGTTCCTCCCATTTCCCAGAAATATAGAGGGATATATAACTAAAAGAGGTCAGAGATTTTCAAATGTATTTTCCTACAGGAAGAAAGCTCAACAGCTACAACTCACAATAGAGCATTCTCATTTAAACACAGTAAAAGCCCAATCTGCCCCCTTCGTCTTACAAAAGAAAAATTCTGAAATTATGCAAAATGAGCCCAAAAATGTGAAATTATGCGATTCTGTTAATTTTAACAAAGAATGGTGAAGGAAAATACTCAGAAATTTGGCAAAAAATGATCAAATTTGGTTAAATTATGCGGGGTGCATAAAATCACAGTGACAGCCCAACAGACACAGCAAGTTCCTTCACTGCCAAACCCTTTTTTTGGGGGGGAGGGGGGTGTTTTACCGTACTCACAACTGCAAAAGAATATATGTGAGCGAGCAGGATACATTAAACATCTTCAGTTGATAGGAAATTTTCAATTCTGCCTGGGTGGCGGCTGAAGCCTGCTCTAATCGATTTTGGATGACCAAGGGACCTTTAATGTGTGTAACTTGCACAAAAGACCTCCAAGACTTTTTGTCATTATACGAGACGTCTAGGTGTTAGATCTTACTCATCAAAAGACCAGAGGTGTGGCTGAAAGACAGCAGTAAGAAGGAGCCAAGGAGTAGCAATAGAAAGGCTGCAGAAAAAACCAAAAGCCCAGAGGAGAGGGAGGGGGGGCAGAAAGTGGAGACGAAAACAGACGACAGAACATTGTCAAAGAGCACTAAAGAAGGTGAAAATTTTCCGGAACTGTCTGTATTCGAACATGGGACCTATTGAATAAGAGTCGAACATCGAAAACCTCTCGACGACGAGTACAAGTCCTCACCAAGAATTCCTCCTGCAAACAGTGTGTCAAATAAGACTTCTGCATATCTCCTGTAGTTGAGTTTTGAGCCTTCCTTGTCCAGATAGCGTGAAACTTGTTCTAAATCTCCCCCACATTCACCCAGTCCTGCGACGATGGAATCACGAAAAGCAGTTGGATCGTACTTTTCTTTTTCATCTGTGAAGCACAAAACACAAATGATGCATTTTAAGAACAACTCGACAAAAAATAATTTTTTTTTATTCACTACTGATGCTTAACTAATAGAAGTTTTAATCCCAACTGAAGCTGAAGGGTCATGCACATGTTTGGTACAAACACAAGTACCGTAATAAATTTTGAATAACAATAACATCAAACCCCATACAAATTCTTATCATAACCGAAAAGTTCTTAAGCATGAGAGGAACATATCTTACTATTTTGAAACCTTTTTAAAAAAATCAATGCAGTGAAGTAATTTTTAAAAAATTCATCATAAAACAATAACTAGTTTTAGCTTCAAATTTAGCAAAATCTTTGAAGCACAATTACATGTTAATTTCAAAGTCTATAAAAGTCTCAAATTAAAAACTTAGCGGTCCGTAGAGAGACATGATAAAAAATTAAAATAATTTTTTAAATAAAAACAAAACCATACTAGAGAAATATCATGATCATCTTCTTTCTTTTGTTCATCATTTAACCTTCTATTTCATTTCAGTTGTCCTCTCTCTCTTCTGTTCTTAATCTTGTAACTTCACAGATATTAATCCAGATTCAGGCTTGCCAACTTTTGAGATAAATGAATTTTGGAATTTTGATTGCGCCGGAGCGCCACGTACACACACTTCTGTGATATGCTACTAAAGCTACAACCCCCCCCCCCCCCACACCACAAAAACAGCGATTTTCGGGAAACCTGCGTTTCGGGAACGACGATGGCAGTTTGGGAATTTCCAGAAAAATTTGGAAAGGTGGACAAGCCTGCAGATTAACTCTTTTTATCCTGGCGAACTTGACCCTGATTAACGCACCCACGACGCCCCCTTGGACTTTACATATCTACCCCCTACACATTGGTACTGCACGAATTCCAGTACTGGTCCCTTCATCATGATCTGAATCACCATTAGATGAGTCTTATTCCTGTTCGTTATCATCCACAATTGAATTAACGTCACTTAGCAATGCCAATCGGGCTTTCCCGCGAGGCGAAAATTTGGTCCCCGTTTCCGGGCGATTTTGCGGACCCGGCCGAAGCGTAGGTGACTAACTTTGTTAACCTCGGTCTGCTCTATTTCCGATCCAATCCGAATGAAACTCGGCAACCAATTAGAAAAAAGGGCAAACTAATGATTTGTGGACGTTGAAGTTCGTACACATAAATTAACCTATACTTTTGGTGTCGGGAACACTTTCGTATCGCGTACACCGAAAACTATAAGGAGTTTGAATTTCAACGCCGAGATGGTAATAGATCTATCTATCCTCTATAGTGTGCTCAAATTTGAACGTTCTGTGTCAAGTAATTTTTTAGACCCGATCATAAATGCACGACTACCCCCCTATCCAAAGCGGCTTCGCACAGAGACCGGCCATTTTCCCCTCACTCTCGTGGCAAATGTATGTGACCTACAAATCCCCGCATGACTATTCCGGGCCCGTTCGTTGGTCACTTGAAATAGGGCAATGGCGGGCGCGCGCAACCGGTTGTTTTTCTCTCTATTCCCCTGTAACATCGCTATGGGGGTATTCCGAGGCGAGGTTATCTCGTCTCGGGGTGTTCGCGTCTCAACGGGGAAAAATAATTTTTAATTGTACGGCATGCTAGATTGAATTAACTTATCTTTTAAGGTTGGCATGGTCTAAAGTCATCATAAAAAGCTTTGCAATTATTTAGTCACGCTGCCGACATATATTCTCAAAGATCCCATGTTGTGATACGATGCTATAAATAAAATGGACTCATCCCGACACCCCTTTTTCGCAAAACCGTAATATGTACACCACAATTTTAATTATAACAAAATAACTACGAAATTGGTAGTAAATCTGACTGCAGAAATGATTTCTACACTCAAAAACACATCGGGTAGCCAAGTTTCTCTCGAACACTCCGATTAGTTACCGAGATATCGTCGATTTTCTTACAGAATCTGCTACTGCGTGGTCCACTTTTTAGGAGTATTTTCCTACATGTGGGTCATCCATGTTTTGTCGTCGACCTTTACAACCCCATAACTTTTTTATTTATGAACCGATTCTCAAAATTCAAGAAGCATAATTCTTAGAATTGAAAATTCTTTCTTAGGTACCAAAAAAAAAAGGGGACAAAAGTGAAAATTTAAATTTTCATTGGCATTGCTACGTCACTTGATTCAGAGTCACTTAAATCAAATAAGTGTAAAAATTCCCCCTCACAACCCAGAGCTACTTCTTGAAGTACTTTGTCAGTCGTGAACGGGCGTTTTCGAGACATTTTTCAAGCTTTCACACCAACCAAAAACAAAGAAACCGCTGTGTTCATTGTAAAATTGAAATATTCAGACAGAGCCAGCATAGCTGCATTTGTGTGTTTTGGTAGTTACAAGCAGAACTAGCTGTTTGACGTGACCGTATAGCTGTTCCGAGTTTACTCGTAGCCTGCTAAAAAAAAAAAAAGACTTCAACTAAAATAAACAGAACAAATAGCATTGTGCATTTATTTACATACCCCTTTTCCGGGTCTTCAGACGGGCGCCTGATAGTGTTGGTTTTTCTGCCTTCTGACTCATAAACCTGAAAAATGGAGAGAAAAAAATGATTTGTCAAAGCAATGTGAAGATCTTTATAAATAATCAGACACCATCCAGCGCCAAGGATGAAACCAAAGCTGGACAGCTTGTGTACACAACACAAGTCCGAGATGATTGAGACACAATGTGCCAATAAGTGGACATGTTATCGGCCCTTGCTGCATTCATTTTAAAAAAAAATTCACTTCCCTGCTGTATTGGAGTAGGTGCTGCGATTGGCACAATCATTTGATGATTTGTAACCCTGAGGACAAACCCACTTCCTCCTTTTCATCTGTTTTACTTTCAGACCAGGAGTCCATTAGAAATTAGAAATCAGGAGATTTTGAAAATGTAATTTCGGTGGTGATTCAGAATTGGGGGTGGGGGGAGAAGGAGAAACCAACATTTTTGTCTATATATGCTTGTTTTTGCTCAAATCCATCATTATTTCCTTTTTAGCTCTTTGGCTATCACTGGGTGTGCGTTCACTGTGATAGAGTCTTGGCCAACCAGTGTAGCCTTCACCGTGAACAAACGTTCCAGCGCTCTTATGTTGAGAGCGTGCAACTTTGTCTGTGGGCAGTAAGAAAGAAAGAGAGAGAGGAGAAGCGCGAGAACTTTCGGGCAAAACAAAATGGCGACCCTTGTAGTTCGGCTCGATTCAAAAAGTTAAATAGCCGTAGCATCTTTGTAGACGACCAAATTAATTTACTTTTGTGCTTTAACATTATTTTTATCTTTGTTTTTGTCAATTTGATTGTCCACACCGATAGACAGTATTCACAAAGAGACAGAGAAATAGAGGAGGAGGAGTAGATCTAGATCTAGATAGATCTAGATATCTAGATCTTGCGAGAACTTCCGGGCAAAACAAAATGGCAACCCGCGTAGACTATCTTTTGACTAGATCTAGATTCCACCAAAAGGCTTAAAAGGAAGGACTTCCGTAACGAGCGACCGCCCCAACAAATACAATAAAGAAGAGACCTACCCCTATCCGTAACCCTAACCCAACCCCTAATGAGTAATTCCTAATAATCCTACCCCTACCGCCCTACCCTATCCTATCCGTAGCCTTCTATTCTACTGTCTCATGACATAGTGGTCGCTTGTTACCTCTCCACCAAAAAGTAAAAGCCAATAGAAATCAAGAGAAAATTAAAACACACTCAGTGGTGATACAGAATCAGAGATGGGGGGAGGGGAGGGGTGTGAAAGTGGAGAGGGAGAAACAGAGAGTGAGAGGGGGTGGGGGCAGCAGGTGTTTTTATAGTAGGCTAAGGCTAAGTTAAGTAGGCCTACGCCTGTGAGTGTGAGTATGGTAAAATTAGTAAAGCCAAACTTCTTTTTCCAATATAAAATGTGTCTCATGTGTAACTTGTAGATCTACCCTGTCAGTGTCAGTACAACATGAGCCCAAACAATAGATCTAGATTCTAGATATATCTAGATTTTGATCATAATTTAGTATTTAGCCGTTGTTCATTATGCTACAACTAGAATCTAGATTCTATCTACAGTGCGGTACCGTACGGCACGGCCGCACGGTACTCAACCTGCTATCAATGCAAACTCTTTGTCTTTAGTAAACTGATGTTGACGATCTGGTAGATAATTAGCCTAATTTCAAAACAAATCTTTGAATTTTTTTTAACTTAACACTTTTCTTATGTACCTATAACAGCCCTTACTCTTGACAAAAAATGGATTCGGCTTTTTTGGGTCACTGGTGCGTTTCGCTACGCGTCGCAATCCAAGCCAAGCAATGGGGGAAGGAAGGGAGTCCCTAACACCAACGCTGACTTTTCGACACGTGACAAAACTCGACGCAGTAGTATGGGAGTTAAAACTGTAGAAACAACAGAAAATACAGACTGAAATAACAAATGATACATTGGAATAATAAACTGAAACTTTTCACTTACCTTTGTTACTTTACTGGGCTATTTTCCGGTAAAATTTTCACTGAGATAACAAGTTGGGGGTAGTCTAGATTGTGCTGTGTTGAAAGTCTCGTTATCGTCTCGTTGACCAATGAACAAAAACGAGATTGAGGTTTGTACACATATACACGAAATATTCCTCCTTAAATCTACCGTAAATTGCCCACAGCCGCTGGGGTCTTGGGTTTTGTTGTTGTTGTTTTTTTAAATTATGCCTAATTGATTAATTTGTATATTTATTATCAATGCTTAAATACTTTTTGAACAATTAATGAAGGGGAAGGGGGGAGGGCTGCTTTACTTTGAGGTGAGGTTGTAAGAATCACTAGATCTGTTTGTGTTGTTTCTATGTTTCTTGTCTTCTTTTAATTTTTACTTGTTGAACTCCGAGGACTTTTCATTTCTGATACCATAGTCTCAAAATTGATTTAACAAATAATTACAGCAGCAGGAGTTCTAAAGCAAGTATAGTTTTTCAAAAACTGAAACATATTTTTGTCTCGAGACTGATCTTTGGCAGAGTGAGTGAAGGACATTATGACACAGATTGGAAAATCTGTTCAATTCTTAATAATATTTAATTTAACGTCCTCCATATCTATTTATTTTTTGTTGGTGCGTTGGAATTGTAGTCACCATGTATTTTTGTTGTTGTAAGCAATGTTATAAGCATACAAATTGTACAATACACGTGTCTTGCAAATGGCAGGATTACAGTCGAGGAATTAAAGCACTAAATTCTGATATGAACAGATTGCTCAATTAAGTGCATTATCATGAAACATAGCGAGACGTAATACCACAGCACGCTCGCGCGCACACACGCACACTCACTCATATACACACTCATACATGCACGCGTGCGCGCGCGCACACACACACACTCACACTCATAATATAAGCTTATTCACTTACATACACACGCGCGCGAGTGCGCGCATACACATTATAGATCTCTACTCACTCACTCACTCACACACACACACACACACACACACACACACACACACACACACACACACACACACACACACACACACACACGATACTCACTCACATTCAAACACAC